AAGGCCCTGGTTTCACTCTCTCTCCCTGGGGGTGGTAGGTCTGCTGGAGGTGGAGGTGGTGCCCTGGTGGAGGGGGTCTACTGATCAAAATGCAGCATGTCTGCAATCTGGGGGCTCCCTGGGGCCCAGCCAGCCCCCACCCCCACCCCCAGATGCGCTGGGTGCTGGTGAAGTCGCAGAGACCCGGCGTGGAGAGGGCCGCAGACACTCTGGTCTGGGGGAGGAGGGGGGCAGAGAGGGGAGAGACCTCTTGGTGACCAACTGGCTGTTTTTCAGTCTGAAGAGGATATTGTTGGAGAAGTCCTGCCTGAGCTGGGCCCTCTGAGGTCATCTCAGCAGACAGCAGCTCTGCATCCATGTGCAGAACACAATGGGCCGCCAGAGAACTGAAATTCTCCAGCGATTACGGCCGACAATGACCGGTTGTCTCCGCTTGCTTCTCCTTCGCTCCCCCCGCGTGGGCAGCCCACACACCCAGTGCTGTTTTCACTTCTTTCCACCCAAGCAACTGTGTTTACTTAGCAACTTGTACGAGCAGACTGAGCAAGGTAGGATGTGGGATGGTCACCAAGGTCTGTCCTAGGCCCGCAGGAAGCACATCTGTGTCCCTTTATCCCAGGCCGGCGTTAAGGAGCAGGGGAGCGGAAAGGTTCCCAGCACACGGCAGAGGCTGCACAGTGTCCCTGGGAGACTGGCCGCTCCTTGGACCCTTGTAAACAAGGCGTGTCTGTTCCCCCCTCCCACCCATCTGTGCGGATCTGTGCGCTCCCGTCTGTTGTGGGCCTGGTTCATCGCTGTGGATCCCCCGGGGCAGGTGCTGGAGCTTGGCTTTATTGTCCTTGCACGGCACCTGACCCTCTCTGCGGGGCCCGTTATGTGGCTTCCCAGCAGGGCCACGTGCTAAAGCTAAGCGACTCGACAAAACCCTTCATCTGAGACTCAGGCACGCAGGTGGGCGCGCCTGGCTCTCTCCCCGCAGCCTGAGCCTCGCTGGCGTGTTCTGCCTCTAATTGAACACACTGGAGCGCACAGACCCTGGCCGTTTCCTGGAGCCTGGCTAAAGGATTTATTTTTCGGAGGAAATCCCCGGAGGTGGCCCAGGCTCACCCAGCTGGCTCCAGCGGCATCCAGCCTGGACGGAGTGTTAATTTCAGAAGTATTTTCCTGGTCATGAAAGTTAATGATCTCGCCGTCCCGGGCTTCTAACTTTGCAAAAGCCAACTGCGGAGCAGGCAGCTCCAGCTCCCGCTCTGCACACCACCCGATCGATCGGCTCTCTGACCTGGCAGCCCTGCGCCCCCCGCCCCCCACCTCCCGACAGATGAAAGGTCGCTCTGTCTACGTGTCTCCCGCTTCTCGTGGTCTCTCGAGGAGACTATTATTAACCGAACGGCCCCGTGATGTGGATGACTGTCCCTCAGCGCGAGGCGACTGCCACCAGACTCATTTTGCTTAACAACCTCAGAATTGACTCACAATTGGACTCTGGAACGAAAGGCTAATTGAGTCAGTCTGCTGTACCGGGCACAATCCCGATCCAGAGGATAAAACTGTATGTACTGCTCCGAGCAGAATGCTGGGCAGCCTGGTGTTGGAGAGATCAGCAGCACAGACCCTGGCCCGCAGACAAGCACCGCCAGCAGAGGGGGTGGGAGTTTCAAGGTAACGGTGAACGCAGGCAGCTTCGCTAAAACACTGCCATTCCCACGGTCCCTTCACATTGGACCCGGCTGCCCGGGACATTTCTGTTTGGAGATAGGATCACAGTATAGGATCACATTCTACAGAGACAAAAACTGAAGTAAGAAGAAGTTTACACAGCCGAGTGATGGAGCCCGCTCATTACTGCCCGACGGGTACATTTTCAGGAATTTCGTGAGGAATTGCAGGGGTAGCTTGTAAGCGGCCTCAGTGGGAATATTTACACCACAGTAATCAGCACACACCACAAATCAGGGCTTGGTGTTGTTCTGGGAGAAGAGTTTTTAAATATTTCCCAGCACAACCCTGTTTAAGAACCAGTATATGATGTTGTCAATCCCACCCATAAAACATGTGTGGTGGCTGGGGAGTCCGTTCCTGCCCTGGCTGGGCAGATGTCCTCTCCCATCCCCAGACACCTCTGGCCCAAAGGAAATGGTGTAGCTCCAATTAACTTCCGGTTTTCAGTACCTTCCAAAGGTCGGAAACAATCCTCCCCCAGAGTTACTTCCTTCCCTTACCAGCTCTTCCTTCACAGTGCTCTGAAATCTCCTTTTCTTTCTTTTCATATGTTTTTTAAATTAAAGTTTATTGGGGTGACATTGATTAACAGAGTCATATAGGTTTCAGGTATAGATTCCTATGTTACAAAATCTCTATATTGCACATGTGCCCCCACCCTGAAATCTCTTAAAGCAACGTGGACAGATGGTTCCACATATTGACAAAGCAGCTGAATTCGTGTCCGTTCCATTGATGGAATGATGTGTCAAGTGTTGTGATCTAATGATAAGCTCCCTGTCCCTGAACTCCAATAACTCACAGTCTAGAAGCTGAGAGAAACATGTGGAAAGGTTAATGATACAGTGGCTAGCTCTTGATTAGAAAAAAAATAAGAAAGGCTGCTAATAAAAAAGCTAACATGAATGAAGTACTTAGTATATGCCAGGTATGTCCTTACACACTTTATATTTTTTCCCAACAACTCTAACAACGTAGGGACTGTTGTTTCACTCCCCTAATTTTATAGATAAGAATACCACAGCCTAGCAAGTTTAGACTAGAGCAGGGGTGGGGAACGTATAAGGCCTGAGCAATCATTTGGTCTGACCCTGCCACGGCCTGAGTTAATTAAATGTTTGAATAAATATAGCAGGCTAATTTTTAAGTTGATAATTCTGTATGGCCCGCAAAGGATGTTATAAACATCCAAATGGCCATTGGCAGAAAAAAAGTTCCCTACTCCTGGACTAGAGAAAGATAGTGAGTCGTAGGAAGCAGGATTTAAAATATTTTCTTTTAAACTGATTTTTAGAGAAACTGGAAGGGAGAAGGGGAGAGAGAAACATCCACGTGAGAGTGAAACATTGATCGATTGCCTCCTGCATGCTCCCTACCTGGGATGGAGCCCGTAACCTGGGCGTGTGAATAGAATCGGTGCACGGGACAAGGCCCAACCAACTGAGCCACACTGGTCAGGGCTAGAAGCAGGATTTAAAACCACACATTCTGATCCCTACAACTTAAGCGTATAATATGACGCAGCTACACAAGCTGGCTTCAGAGAGGCCGTGGCACTGGGCCTGAGACTTGGAGGATGTGTAGGGTCTATGGGGCCATGGTGGAGGAAGGTATTCCAGGCAGAAGGAAGAGGCATAGGATGAAGTAACCACACTCATAATAACCTCAGGGTAACCATAATGTGGTGTTTGTACGTGCCAGGCACTGATCTAAGTGCTGTATTCACACATTTGATTCTCACGACAGCCTTAGTAAGTGATACCATGAGCACCATTTTACAGACAAAGAAACTGAGGCAAAGAGGGAATAAGTAACGCCTTCCCGGAGGTAGAGCTGGAATGGGACCCTATTGAATCCGATTACAGAGCCGGAGATCCTTGTCCATCACCACCTTCCACACAAGCACCATCCAGAAGACAGTGCGTCATTCGCTGGGGATGGCAGGGCACAGGGTGCAAATGCTGAGTGACGGGAGATGGCCCCCGCCCGGTGAGGCTGCAAAGAGCCTTGAATGACAGACCCAAGAGTTTGGACTTGACTTGAGAAGCAGAGGAAGCCACTGAAGGATTTTACACAGAGAAGCAACAAGATCTGATTTGCATATGAGGAAGCCTCTTTCGTGTCTCAATGGTCCAGCTAAGATTTGCTCAGTACCGACTCTGTGACATCACTGTTCTAGCAGCGACAGGGAGAGCAGGAAACTGGCCCAGGACGGGAGGAATGGCTACTCAGGAGGCTGCCGCCAGCGGTGAACCAAAGGGAAGAACGGAGGGCCGGAAGGGGAGGAAGAAAGGACGCACTGAGGGGTGGGCATCGCTCAAACAGAAGTCAAGGCTGGAAAAGGGGGGGAGGGGGGGCGCAGAATCAGGGCATGGACACCTCGGGAGACAGTGGTACTGTGGGGGCAGACACGGAGGACAGGTCTGCAAGGAACGTAGAGGGCTAGGGTGGATCTTGCTGGGTTCACGAGTCTGCGGAGAGCCAAGTGTCTTGTTAGGACCCCGATCTTCATCTGTCCAATTAGCAACCACGGCCT